TTCTGCTGCGGGTGCTGCTTTAATCAACTAAGGAGCGATGGAGGGTTAAATTGATATGCCAAATCTGATTGGCAAGTGTCTATGATCACTGGCGAACAGCTCCTACCATATGCGGGTCTCACTAACTCCCCATCATGGATCCAAATGAAGCCTTCGGCGTTGACCAATCTCCTTTATGGGATGCGCCACAAATTCACTTTCATTCAAAATGGCGCGGCATCTTGAAAGCGATTTGGTCTGTATATATGTATTTTCCCTGTGAAGGCCAGCCGATGTTCAAGTCAGTGTTTTTATCCTCCCAGACAAGTCTGGTACCAATTAACCGACCCGGAGGGATGGAAGGCTTGGTTGGCCCGGGCGACTCACGACCCAGGATTTGATCCCGGACCGCTCGCGTGGTAAGCGCGCCACTTGTCACTACACCACTTCCGCCCAAAGCGCTATTACTGAGAGAAAAATCACAAGAATACCTTTAAGTGATAGATGCACTGCTTTGTTCCGCCTCTGACCGATTTGTTTGATAGTGATGTCAAATCGACGTACAGCTTCGTAGGCAATCAGCTCACCACCACAACCTGATGAGAACGACGGCGGTATCTGATTACATAATTGGCCACCGAATCCTGTTGGGCATCTAAATGGCTGGATATACTGTACTTTACAGTAACCCGATTGGACAATGAGCAAAGAGGTCATTGCTCAGGGTAAAAAGCTCTTCCCTATCAGTTCTGAGCACTTCTGTGCAAACCTCACACAGATGATAACAACTTGGTTGTGGGATTTAGGGAGCAGGGAGATTCTAGACAGATGAAGCGCATGAGTGCTTTATCGGAGGCACGCAGATATTGCACGGAATTGGGTACTTGGGAAGTGAAGTTTTGTAAATTTTGGCGCACACTTTTATATCCTAATGGTGTATTCCATAACCCGCATGACACAAACTACAGGGTGAAGCTGGAGTTGGGAGGGCATTCACTGTGCTCTCCAATACTAAAGATAAGAATATGAGCTTTCGTGACCTAATCGGCTCATTTGAGCATGATAGGTACCGGTGAAGTGTTTGAATTCTCCTGAAGTGCTTCTACTTATCGGTCTACAATGGTTCAAGGGGACGGCCCTGAACTAGGGCAAAGGTCATCTTCGCCTAGTCCTGAGGGTGGAGGAGCTCGGGAGACGTTTACTCTTAGGTCAGGTCAACAGAACGTTCATGGAAGCCTTAGGTTATGCTTGGGTTAGGCTTAGGCTTGGGCTTATGCTTACACATTGGCTTATGCTTAAGCCTATGATTGGGCCTAGGCTTAGTCCTAATTTGCTTCAGCAAATGAGTGGTGTCTTAATTTTGGGTGACCTGACTGAGGAGGAGAAGAGAAACGCACCAGAGTAGCTCCAGGGTGGATTACCAGGTGCATGGCTTCTCAGATTTACCGTATTTTAGAAAAATTACCGCGCTCGGATCAACTGCAAAATCTCCCTATGTTCAACTTCGAGTAAATCTTGCTTCCCACCACAGATATGGGTTAAATATCAATAATAGCTGGAATAAATGACGAACTTGCATCGATTACACGTTCGACTATCGATGAAGCCACCATTTTGGCATGGAAGCGATCGTGGACAGTTTGCTGGAACAGTTAGATGAATATGTTCAGGGCTAGTCTCTGAAAAGCTACATTAAATATTGCATACCTTGACAATTATAATGAAGATTCAGAACTAGAATGTCCAGAAAAGATGGTCCTTCCATTTGACCCATCGTTTGTTGTAAGTTAGGGTCGATCGTGGTCAGCGCCGGGATCTGTTTGAGGGTGGAGAATCTGAACGGCAAAGGATATGACAGCCCAAATGACTAGACGGGCATATTTTAAACCTTCCTCATGGTTTTCTATTATCAAGCAGCACATTAGCGTTATGTCGAGCTGGCTCGGATTTTGATTACGATGCCCATAGCCATGCATAGCTGCCCTTGGTAAGCAATGACTTTAGCTTTCCATGGCCTTCCAAGATTTCACTAGAGTAAGCCAATAACAGGGTCAGCCTCCGTTGGTAAAACTACCATTGGGTTGGTGAAGGTGAAAGATCGGAAAGAAGGGGGCGTATTTGTGGAAGTTGAAGGGATTTTGGTTGACAGAGAAGTCGTTTTTGTTCGATATTTGGTAATTTCCGCCAAGAACCTCAGAAAATACGTATAAAATGGACAAGAGTAGAGCATCTGCTGCTTCTTGAGGTATATTTGCCTCTCCCCATTCTACGCTCGATGGCCGTTTTGGATGGAAAAAGTGGGTGGAGTTGGAGCGTGCCGAGCGGTCTTGGAAACAACTGCTATAGAAACAGCAGTGATGAGGAAGGTGCTGGTCGGGTTCAGGAGGAGTAGTATTGGGGGAAGGGGGGGGGGCGGAGGGCTTTCAGGGCTGACGTGGCGGTGGGGGTTCTAAAAATTTTTGAAAAAGTACCTTTGCTTGACCCTGGTCAATACCCTTCACTTCACTTCTTGTGCAGCGTAAACAGGGATAGTGGTTAGCTGTGAAGGATGCCTTAGACAAGTCTGGTACCGCATATAGACCTCGCAGGGACAGAATGAGGTGTCAGTCTGGATGAAATCTTATCCTGCACACCGTACAAGCGCGGAATGGCGCTTCTAGTCACTGCGCTGCCCTTGATGGCGACCAGGTTTTGTAACAACAATCCTTCAAATGCTTT